GGCGGGCGAGCTCGGTGCGCTCCCGCCCCACGACGTACTGGCAGCGCTGGACCTCCATCTCCAGGCGGTAGAGCTGCTCGGCCGTGAAGGAGGTGCGGGTCCGCTTGGGACGGTCCAGATCAAGCCCCTTAGGCAGAATAATCTCTCTGATTGAACCTTTGGCATCTGGCAAAGAAAGGCGCAGTCAGCTTTACACCCGGGTAACCCTCCTCTAGCTCCTCTCCCCCCCTCCACCCCATTTTTCTTTTTTTTTTCTTTTTTTTTTTAATTTTTTTTTTTTTTTAATTTATTTCCACCGGCGCCTTCAAGACCGAGACCCGAGTCGGGATGGAATCCCTGAGATTGCGGCACTGCACCTGGACACTACACCCAAGGAAGAAAAAAAACCCAACAACCAAACAACCAAAACAAGCACAACAGAGAAGGAAGAAGGGGGCGATGGGGGCCCAAGGCTCCGGAAATAATCCCCTCAGCCCATTTAAAAATTGGCTTGAATATATTGCACTGACAGTACGACGCTGCGGCATCACCCACGGCCCCTCCGGGAGGTTGGGGAGAGATCCTCCAGGCCGGGCTTTGTGCCTGGGATGCAGGGCTACTCTTTGTTCCCCCTGGGCTCCGGTTTAGGGCTTGCTGGAAGCCTCCATACACACCCAGTCGCTCTCCCCCTCACCCCCCAAAAAATATAAAACCTCCTTATTTTTTTTTTTTTCGAACAAGTTTCCCGTGTGGGGAAAGGAAAAGAAAAAAAAAAAAAAAAAAAAAAGGCAGGCGGGAGATTTGAGGGCAGAGGCAGAGGTGCCCCCGGGCTGGCTGCCTGCCCACCCTGGATCCGGGGACACCTCCAGCCCACCCAGCATCCCGGGGAAAGCATCGCCGCCGCCGCCGCCGCTTTGGCGTTTTGGCAAAGAAGAGAAGGAGGGAGAAAAAAAGAAAAACCAAACCAAACCAAAACAAAAACCAAAAACCACACCAACAAACCGAATCGAGGCACCAAACAGCCCGCAGAAACCTCACCTTTCCGGTAGCCCCGACCGAAAGAAAGCGGGACAAATCTTATTAACACGACTGTCAAGCCAGGGCCAGATTCATGTTACATTAAAGCCTTTCCAACTTCGCTTCCCGTAATTTTACCTCCTCGCTACGTTTTAAATCGGAGACAACCACATCATTTTAATCTGACTCCTCTCTGGGTCAATCGGTCGCGCAAGGATTAATTATTGTTTACAAGGCCTGCTTCTCACTAGTTTTGTTCCGATTCTGTTCTCTCCCTCCTCTCCCAAAGCACACCTTAATAAACCAAAATTTCTTCAGGTAATCTGTTGGGGTTTTTTCTTTTTTTTTCTTTTTTTTTTTTTTTTTTTTTTAATGGGGAGGAATAGAATGATTTAATTAGTTTAGCCTGGGAGGCAGACGAGTGCTGAGGAAAATAAAACGTATAACTATTAAAAAAAATAATAATTTAAAACCCCTCGTCATTTTCCCGTTAATTTTAAGGCTGATGGTTATTTAAAAATATCCCTTTCCGCCGGGATGCTGGGCGCGGGGAGAGGGGGGGACAGCGGGAACCCCTGCCCTCCGGAGAGAACCTTCCTGCCCTCTCCGACCGCCGGGCGGG